CATCTCACTTGGGAGGACTGATTATGTTCATCATAGAGGATCATTTATTACCCCTTACTGTCCCCATTATCATATCTACTTCTGACATTAAGAGTCTAAAATATGTTATGGTATGATTTTCTACTTTATGAACTAAATATATACGATTAAAAATCAAAAACTGTTTTTATTTCTTTGCTCTGTGAAACTTGTAATTTATTGAATCCTATTGATCAACCTGAATTCTAGTCTCATGTCTCTCTTTGTTCACAAATAAAACTACAGACTCTGTTACAACATTTTATTAAAATGAGGAAGCAAAAATCACATTAAAGCACATTTGGATGATGCAGTTTCCTTTACAAGTATTCAGAGAAAATTGAAGGACTTTTCTAACATAGAAGCCAACCTGAAACATCTGACACTGAAAACAAATCCTCTCAGCTGTGATTCAATCTTTCTTGAAAAGACGAGTTTGATTACATGAAAGTACATTTGATTGTAAAAACATTGTTACAGACTTTAAAACTTTGATACTTAAGATCACAAGGAGATTAAAACCCATTTTGTATTATATATATATTTTTAATTCATGTGTCAAATAAAAACCATTTAATGTCGATCTGCAGAGACCCTTTGTACCTTTAAGAAAAAGCTCTTCATGAACACCTTGATGATGATGATGATGATGATGATGATGATGATGTTTAGGATGGTTTTGATTCTGATTCAAACTCTCATGAGCAGCTGTTGATGTTGTTGATGACGACATATTTACTTTACTTTTTTTAAAAGGTGCACTGCCTCTGGTCACTTCCTGTCATCACCTGTGTGTCTGATTTGACTTAAAGCTGTTTGTTTGCACTTGCCTGTCAGATAGGAAGCTGTGTGTGCTGCACTCCCATGGAGTAGGGCGCAGAGCAGAAGGGGAGCGCACAAGCAAAAGTTCGGCTTGAGTACAGACACAAGAGTATTTTCCTTAGACAACTTATATTTAGTTAAATATACGTTAGTAATACCAGGGTTATTTCACAACCAGAGTTGATAAGCTTTCTTTTAAAGCAAACAATGTTTATTTTATTTATCTACCAACTGTTAAAAAAGGGTAATTTAAGAGCACGGAGATGATAGTTTAAATAAGTATCATATAAGACATGCAACTTATATCGTTAAATATTCATCGAGATTTATGTCTCCTTACTGAAATTACTTGGGTTTATTACCTACTTTCACAACTTTTTATATTTTTGAGGACATTTTTGGCTGCAGGGCTTCTTCTCTATACCTTTGAGGATACTACAGCTTTGGTTGGAGGCACTTATGTGAGTCATGTGTTTCAAAAATGTTCTTAGTTTATTTGTTTGAAATGATAAAAATAGAAGGTGAACCAAAGTAAAGCGAGCCACACGGCCTCAGCAGGGTCAAACACCATTTAGAAGATTGTAGTGGGCAGAAGATACCGATGACACAGATCTCAAACTTTCAGAACTAAGAGAGCCATTTCAAGCTTCGTGCCCACATCCATCAGGCTCATGAATGGCTGATCCATTTGTTCATTTATTTTTAACACCACTCTTTTAACCTTTCATAACAATTGTCATGCTTTTAATACAGCCACTTGTATGTGTGTGTGTTCTTTTGTTTGTTTGTTTTGTTGTGCTGAGCTGTATGCACACTGATGCTTTTTTTACACAACTGAAGTTCCTAACAGATAAATAAAGATATTTGAAATTGGGTCTTGCAGACTGCAGACAGTTACTATTGGTCTAACTGGCAAACAAGACCTTGTGCTGAGCTCAGCTCGGCCGAGTGCAGATACGCTCTTGTGCAGAGCTACACATAGACAATGAATGGGCTTGACAGCAGCGCGTAGCCCCCCACCGTGTCCTGTCTGAAAGTCCCTTTAGTCTTTTAGTTTTGTGTTCAAAATATGTCTAAAAGAAAAGGTGAGAGTAATTTGAGAATCAACAGATCAGTTTTAAACACTGACATTATAATGTACATCAGGTCGGATACAATGAGCTGTAGTTATTTTTTAAATAACGCCACAGCCCCCGCAACCAACCCAGCCCCAACAGCCCCGACAGCTGACACAGGCGCAATAGCCAACCCAGCCGCCACCGCCACCGCAGCCCCCACAGCCCCCACCACCGCAAGTCCACGACCAATCTTTGCGCGCACTGAAAGGCTCTTCTCTGCCTCTCTTCTAGCCTTCTCTTCCTGTTCTTCCTCCAGTGCTTTCATTTTCTCTTTTAGTTCTTTTTCCATCTCTTCCTTCGCTTCTTTTAATTCTTTCTCGTGTTTTTCTTTTATTTCCCTCTCCAGTTCCTCCTTCAATTTGCACTTTTGCTCTTCTTTCTCTTTCTGGATTCGCTGTTTCTCCTTAGTGTCTTCCTCTGCTTCCTTTAGTTCTTTCTCATGTTTTTCTTTTATTTTCCTCTTTAGTTCCTCCTCTTTGCACTTTTGCTTTTCATTCTCTTTCAGGATTCGCTGTTTCTCCTTCTCCGCGTCTTCCTTCGCTTCCTTTATCCTTTGCTCAAATTTTTCCACTATTTTCCTCATTAGTTCCTTGCTCTCTTTCCTCATTTCCTCTTCTTTCTCTTTCAGGATTCTCTGTTTCTCCTCTTCAATCGCCCTCTCTGCCTCCTGAAACATCTCAGTGGTGTAATGGTTTCCTCTGTTCCTCCCTGTTATATTTCTGATCTTGTTGAGCAGCTCTCTGGTCTGAGAACTATCAGAGATCGTGTTATCAAAGACGTGGTACTGGTCGTTACATTTGGCCACAAGCTCCTGCAGCTCTTTGCTTTTCTTCAAGAACTCCTCGATAGGTTTCCCACTGAGCTGGTCACCATGGGTAAAGAGAACCATACTGTATTTGTCTGCTGACTTTCCAAAGATTTTCTGAATCTTCTCCACCGTCTTCTTTTCTTCTTCTGTGAGTCGGCCCAGTTTGATGATAATCAGAAAGATATGTGGTCCAGGAGAAGCATAAGCCATACACTGGGAGATATTTTTACGTGTCGTCTCTTCATCTGTATTGGTGTCAAACAGACCTGGAGTGTCGATGACAGAAACCTTCTGTCTATCCAGCTCACCATACGCCTTAGCACAGTCTGCGGTCACAGATTCAGGGGAGAAATCAGATTCAAAGCACTTGTGTCCCAGGATGGTGTTTCCTGCTGCACTCTTCCCAGCTCCGGTCTTCCCCACCATCACGATCCGGATCTCTTCATTGTTGTACATGGTTGTTTCTGATTTGATGGGAAAGAAAAGAAAGAACAACTTTGATTATCCAAACCTGATGTTATACAATTATCCCGTTATTTTTGTTTTGTTTTTTTGAACAACCAGATTTTAGATTCAAGAAAAACTCATCTGATAACTTTAATCCTGTTGGATTAACTTTGACCAAACGGGCCCAGAGGATATTGTCTAGCTAGCTCTAAATGATTATTTTACTATTTCTACTGAAAAATAGTTAACACTTTTTGTTTAACTTTACAAACTAACTCAACAGAGCATGTAGCAAATTAAAATGCAAAGAAAGCTACTCGGGCTTTGTAGCATCGGTAACACTTTAGATTAAGGTCACAATAATCACCATTAGCCAGTTGCTTATTAGCATGTTCATTAGTAGCATACTGGCTGTCGTCATTGAGAGCTTTATAGTCGAGCCCGACCAATAAATCTGTCAGACAATGGCAAATTATATCTCTGATATGCTGACATAACTAGGTTTATTCAATTTAAGTTTATCATTTATTTTTATATCATTTTTTAATAATTGTTTATTTCCATAAATGCTTTTGTTCAACTGTAAAAAAACAACAACTTGTCTTCATTATAAATCTTTATGACAAGTGTTTTATAACCGCTCAATGCAATAATGTGTGTATATCTATTTCTATCCATAAAGATTGGAGATACATATAAGAAAGATATCGACCAGATATATCGAAATGTTTTCTCCCTAAAAACGATATCGGCATCTGCCCCAAAAATACATTTCAGTCGGGCTCTACTTTATAGTACCTTACTCTATATGACCATAACTCATAGCTACAAGGCCATTAACTAAGAGTTTGCCCTCAGTACCCTCCTAAATACTGCTGATTAAGAGAACGTTAAGAAGTTGAATCAGAATCACATTCACCTTTATTGGCCAGGTATGTTTACACACACAAGGAATTTAACTGGTGAACTTTGCTCTCTATGTACAAGTATAACATTAAATATCAACAATAAACACAATAAGCAAAGACTAATATGTACAAGGCTAAATAAGAAACAGTTCAGTTGTGAGTAGTGCAAAAAAGGCTGAAGTGACATGATAATAAAAAATGCAGTTATGTGACAGATGGGTTCATTTACATGAGGTAGAGTTTTACAGTATTTACATGATAAGTGTGCGTAGATCGATAATTTAAATTAAATGATATATATGTATATGTACATTCACAGAGACAGGTCTGACACTCTGTGGCTGTTTAGCATTCATCAGACAGAGTCACAGCCTGGGGGAAGAATCTGTAACGCCTACCGGAGGGGAGGAGTTTGAAAAGTTTGTGTCCGGGGTGTGAGGAGTCTGCAGTGATGCTACCTGCCCGTTTCCCAGCCCGGGACCGGATAAGTCCTGGATGGGGGGCAGGTCGACACCAATGATTTTTTCTGCAGTCCTGATCATCTGTTGCAGTCTGTATCTGTTCGGTTTGGTTGTAGATCCAAACCAGACAGTGATGGAGGTGCACAGAACAGACTGGATTATGGATGTGTAGAACATGATCAGCAGCTCCTGGGGCAGGTTGAACTTCCTGAGCTTGTACGTGAAATATGACCTCAATATACTTTTTCTCACTTCTACCTTATAAGGGCATACTAAGCAATGCATATCAAGATCAGAATTCCTGTTCAACAACTTCTTAACTTTCTCTCAATAAGCAGTAATTAGGAGGGTATTTGGAAAACCGCTGAAGTTACACCTACACACTAAATTCTGTTATAATTTAAAAGCCAAACATAATTTGTGCCAGTGTATGAGGTCTTGAAAACCCCAACAGATACAAGGTTTAAGCTACTTACTAATAAAGCAGCTTTCTGTGATTACTGGTGTTATGATCATTGTGATAACAGCTGGGTGGAGTGAGGGCTAGTGTACGGATTCACGGATTCCTTTTATTTAAATACAGATATTTATTAAATATGAATAATATTGGTATTTAACAATTAAATTTGACACTGACTCTGTGCTATTTGGTTATTGTTGACTGAGGGAACCCATCCAGGGTCGTGCCCCGTTGTTATTAATTCAGATGAATAGTTTTGGTAAGTAATATTAATACAAATTATTCATATTAATTTAATAGCGAAGTTGACTACATTAAAACCCAAACATAGTTTGTGCCCACGTATGAGGTCTTCAAAACGCCAACAGATACAAGGTGTATGTTACCTTGTAAATTAGATGTACTGACTTACCTTTACTGACAGCCATATTTGGGTGTTGGAGAGAGTAGCTGGTGTGTTTCTAAGCTAAAGAAGAAAAGTTTTTAGTCTGTCAGTGGAAACACTTCCTTATACCTGCACGGAGCCTCATCCTGTTCACCCCTCCCAGCAGCAATAAAATGACTACTTTTCCTCAAAATGGATAAAGTCCAAGCGAAACCAAACTGCCTTTATAGCCCTGACCTAACTGGGTCATAACCCAAAGTTCAGACTGAGTTATGTTTCTCTTTTTTTATTATTTTACTCCTTTCATGTTTTCTTTGAGTTACTGACTTCTCTCTCTATTCAGCGAGTAACTTAGTGTGTTTTCCACATGTTTCACAGTGCTCTCCAACCCAAGCAGCAACTTCTGTTGTTGACAAATGAAGCCGATGTGCCAGTGCAAAGTCCTGCAGTTCATCGAGAGTCCTCTTGAGGCATGCAAACTGTCAAAGTGACATTTATTTGTATCCTGTAACACAAGTGTAGTATTGCGTTTATGTTGTATTTCAGTAAGAAACGTGATGTTCTACTCTCAGTGTATGGGAGGCTTTTATTATGATAGCAAACATCAGTCTGCACCGCCCATCATTTGTTGTGTGTTTAGGCGTTGCTGCTCAACTTTATTCACCCCAAACAAAGTCCAGAATGAAGTAAATGAGAATCATTAACCGTAACATGACGGAGTTTACCATGAGTCAACTTTTATTACAGAGTGCACCGCTACCTGAAACACTATGTTAGAGGAACGCACATAGACACAACAGGTGATACGACCATAGGATAAAATGGGTAACCCGAAGATTCATTCCCCCTTCCCTGCATATTTATATTGTTTGTTAAATAAACTGTCAATTAATTTTGTCAATTGAGGCGTACGGCCAGGAGGCAGGGCACATAGCCAGGACCGTACAGGAGAACGGCCAGCAGGCCGACCAACAAACAGAAAAAGCAGTTGGCGGGGCCTACCGCAGAGACAACAGAGTGGGCAGGGCAGTAATAGCAGTAATAAAGTGACTACTTTTCCGCTAAATGGACAAAGTCCAAGCGAAACCAAACTGCCTTTGCCCTCCCCTAACTGGGTCATAACCCAAAGTTCAGACTGAGTTATGTTTCTCTTTTTTTATTATTTTACTCCTTTCATGTTTTCTTTGAGTTACTGACTTCTCTCTCTATTCAGCGAGTAACTTAGTGTGTCTTTCACATGTTTCACCTCTGTTGTTGACAAATGAAGCTGATTTGGAATTCCAAATCCTGAACACTCTTCTTGTTATATTAGCGTAACAAGCTCTCAATAGCTTACTATGTTGTATTTATCGACTGAGTTGGTGAAAATGTAGAGAAGTTCTGAACACATTTAAAAAAGCCTTTTTGTACTTTACTTCTCTATTTCCTACTTACTATCTAAACTTCATCTCAAAGGCAAAAACATACTTCTTACTCCACCAAATTTATAGAAAATGTTTAGTTTTGAAAGTATCATTTAAGTAATAGGAGTCAATTTGTTTGGTTCTGATGCGTGTCCACTTAAATTATAGCAGTACTCACTTATCCATCGTTTTCATTTCCCAGTTTATTTTATTCAGTTTCCACAAATTCCAAAACAGAATCCAAACTTAATATATGAAAAATTACTTAAACTTGATCGAAAAACATTTGGCGTTTTGCTCCTACACCTCCACCACAGACAAAGACATTCTCACTTTCTTACCACCTGTGCATCACACCCACATGAATTACTCAACTCCAACCTGGGCCCTAATAATCGCTAGGGTTTCAAGAGGGTCCATGCATGGTTCATGCTTGGGCCATAATAATAATCGCTAGGGTTAAGCCTGCTGCTTAGCCACGTTCCGCAGCTGCTGCACTGCCACGGTCGCGACACACCCCGACATGCACAGGGGTGCGAGGGCCCTTCATCACCGCTTGCGGTTTTAATTAGGGCCCGAGCACGATTCGTGCATGTCGGGGTGTGTCGCGACCGTGGCAGTGCAGCAGCTGCGGAACGTGGCTAAGCAGCAGGCCGTGCAGTTCCATTTGTGTAAAAGTTGCAGTACTGGCATGTTGAAATAGGCAACGTAATGAAGATCAATTTTGACGTAGAGCAGTTCAGGCTGGCACTGTCATGATAGCTATGAAATCTGGAGGGAATTGAGCATAGACCTAAAGAACTGTATTTTTCAGGATTCATCTTATTATTTAACAACTACAGTGCTTTTGGTCAATCCAAAATGTACCCCCTGTTGTACCTCAGAGTACCCCTTGGGGTACATGGACCCCCATTTGAGAAACAATGGGTCAGTATGCCATCACAAATAAAAGACAAAAAAACCCCAGTAGAATCCATATAACGTATAATAGTTTGTTATATGGATTTGACTGTTTTTCTAAAAAGTCACAAAAAACTGTTTTAAAAAATGTCACAAAGAAAGTCACAAAAAACTTGCAGAAAAGGGAAGTTGTGAGAAAAGTTAGTCTTTATATGACATACAAATTTAAAAAAAAGGTACATATGTATAAAGACTAACTTTTCCATGGACTTTTTCACAAAAAATTACGCCTGCCTGAATTTTTGCCCTGGATTCTGAAATCAGAGAATGGGGGTACTGAAGCCAAAAAAAATTTAAGAAGTACTGGACTAACCTGTACACTTCTTCATATATCGTGAGGTTATTCTTGACTGGCATGGTTGCGTGGGCAACGACCTTACTGCTGTACCCATCTATTGCGAGAACATGTGTCACTCCAAACATGAAGAATTTTTCATTCTGGTCGATGTGGATTTTGTGTCCCATGTATGCAGCACTGTAGGGGACGGGGTTAAGGTTACATGCACCCTTTGGGGGAAAAATAAGTTAGCTAGTAAAATACATTATACAATATACCACAACATTAAAGGCTTGCAAAAGATACTTACACGTTTGTGCATTTCGTGATAGGGACAATGAGTTGTTCTCAAAATCTTCCCCACCCGGCGTTCACCAGCAACCACTCCCATTGCAGACAGGTACCCGGTCATCATCTTTCGACCATATGTTGACCCTGTCTGATGAATCAACATAAGTAAGCTGTAACATGTAGGCCTAGTCTTCATGGATTTATATTTCATAAAATATATGTAGTCTAGAAATAAATCAACAGAGGTGGGTAGAGGAGCCAAAAATTGTACTTAAGTAAGAGTATTGTTACTTCAGCATAATATGACTCAAGTAGAAGTAAAAAGTAGTCATCCAAATAATATTTGAGTTAGAGTAAAAAAGTACTTGGGGGAAAAAACTACTGTGAAAAAAAGTACTGAGCAACTGTTGAGTAACATCTGATTAATTTGTGAAGACATGCATTTAATCAGACAAAAATACAAAATACTAATCTTCAGGTAAATTTGAGTACTTCCAATCAATAAAATAATAGAATAAATAAAAATGAAAAATAAATTCAATATTTACAAAATAACAAATTACAGCACAAGAAACACACATTTCCAAATGTGATTGGTGCAACACAGTCAGGTGGTAGAGTCTATGGTGGAAGTCCCTCTGTCTGACAAAATAAAACATTAAATTGATGCGTAGGGGGATAATAATAATGCGTAGAATAGTGAATGGGTAAAGAAAAAAGTAACTACCTCAGTGTCGTCTGATGGAGTGTAGTAAGAGTACATTCTTCTTCACAAATCTACTCTAATCTAAAGTAAAAGTGAAAAGTATGGAGATGATGTAAAACTATCTTAGAAGTACAATTTATCCAAAAACTTAATAAGGTAAATGTAACTTTTTACTACCCACCTCTGTAAATCAAAGAAATCCAAAATAACTTAGGCCTACCTGATTTATTGCCCTGCTGATAGCAACCTCTAATTGTGTGTCGGATACATGTCCCCTCCTGGAAATGTTGTGATGTGCACAAAATCTCCTGACACTCATTTCAGAACATCCTTGCTGCACACCTAATTGTAATAAATTTGTGGAAATGTCCGCGTGCAAGAGATTTTGAGCAATCATTTCTCTAATTAAATTTCCATAGGGCTCGAGTGACACCATCTCGTCCAGTCTTCAGACTCCTGCCAACCGAATCTGCTATTGTTGTGCTAAAGACGTGCTAATCGCGGGAAAAAAAAGCTAATATACTGCTTCCGGTTCACCTTGTAATAACACAGATATCCCCGCATTTTTGCATTTTGGTTTAACATAGATTGGATTCTTCGTGTTTATCTGGGAATATAAAAATCCATAATAGGAAAACAACACAAAATCCAATTTTATGGCTATATTTTAATGGAAAACTGTATTAATAATTAATAAATTAAAATATCAGCACAATGTTACTCACAGAGAGGAAGTTAAGAAATTTAAGAAAATGAAATATCAGCAGAATGTTAATCATAGAGAGAAAGTTAAGAACATTACAGAAATTAATGTTAATGAAATTAAGGTAAAAGATGGTCCAGATTTTGTATGCTGCATCTGTCATAGATCGTTGTTTAGACACCAGGTTTTAAATTGCAAAAGAGACTACTTTAAAAAGAAAGAGGGAATAGCTGCATTAGCAGATAAATGTATTGCTGAAAAGTTTTGACATAAATGAAGTCAGGACTGTGAGATGACATGCTAGTTGTTGGATACTGCTCAAGGTCACCTTTGGATTTGCTACACTTGTCATTTTAAGATTAACAAAGGTGAAGTTCCACCTGAAAGTGTTGTTAATAATTTGGGACTTGAATGTATTCCAGAAAAATTAGCATGTTTGATGAGTTTGGAACAGCATTTGATAGCTTTACACATACCTTTCATGAAAATGTTGGCTTTGCCTAAAGGTGGGCAAAATGGAGTTCATGGACCGTTGACTTGTGTTCCTGCAAATATTGTGCAGACTGACAATTTGCTGCCCCATTCCAATATGGAAGGGTCTTTGTTGCGGGTGAAATTGAAGCGCAAGTTAACTTATAAAGGCCATTATGAGTATCAGTTTGTTGACACTACACATGTTAGACAAACGTTGCAATATTTGAAAAAGATAAATGTACATTATAAAGATGTAGAGTTTAATGAAGCGTGGTTAAACAAGTTTTGTAGGGAGTAAGAGGAGGAGGTTGTGGCATCAGAGAGTAATAA